AAACTTCTACAATATATATATATTTACTATTATTATATTAGCAACATAAATGGAACAATAAGATTAACAATTAAACTTCTACAATATATATATATTTACTATTATTATATTAGCAACATAAATGGAACAATAAGATTAACAATTAAACTTCTACAATATATATATATTTACTATTATTATATTAGCAACATAAATGGAACAATAAGATTAACAATTAAACTTCTACAATATATATATTTTTACTATTATTATATTAGCAACATAAATGGAACAATAAGATTCACAAGTAAACTTCTACAATATATATATTTTTATTATTATTATATTAGCAACATAAATGGAACAATACCAGTTGGTTAGAGAAAGTGTTTTGTTTTGCTTCTATGGATTGGTTGATAGAGAATAAGCCCACTAGGTGGTTAACCACAACTTGAACTCTTTCAACAACAATTACCACCAATTGTTGGTACATATTTGGTGGAATAGATTGCCACTTCTCTTCCGAAGCAGTTCCAAGTATTTTTTGAACCTCTTAACTAAAGGCTTTAATGATTATTAAGTACTGCTCGTCTCCTAACTCCAACCATTTAAAACGGATAGACACTATGACAAAACTTACAAATGAAACAGCCAAGTTCTATTTTAAGAGGGACCCAAGTCTATGTCAAATCCAGACCCATCAACATAGAAGTCAACATTGGGATTCACTGGAAAATACAATTGAGACGGGTTTTGAATCATTGTGATCTTGAATAATTCAAATATACTAGAAAATGTTCGGCGTTTCAATTCCGTTGCTGGTCTAATTCGTGTTCAAATTATAATAAGATCTAATTTTACAATCAAATATGAAAATATCCTGCAATATTTTAAAACTTTTAAATCAACTAATATAGATATATCATGGACAGTTTTTCACTCATAAAAAGGTTTCTTCAAACAGAAAAGATATACAAAACAAAATTTAGTTAATTTACCGAATATTTTGTTCGAAATTACATTTAAGTCAAAATCACTCAGTTATCAAAGTTGGATTGTTCATTAATTAATTCAACCTGATAAAATGTAATGTTGTATATTGACTAGTGTAACGTTTAAAATCGAATAATATCACCTTTTATCACAAATTATAGGTTGATAAATCTCACTACCTTTGAAACAAATTATAGATTGATAAATTTCATTACCTTTGAAATACAGAAAAATTCAGACAGCATATAACTTGAACGTATCACAAAAAAAGGTTAAAATAAGTACAAAAGTTAACTACTAGTTATTTTAGTTTATTTCTGATAAATCTTTAGTTAAATTATTTCTCTAATTCAAATTAGTACATTCAAATAACCATTACAACATTACCTGACTGCTCAGCTTCTGGTTTCATTTTGACTGTATGTCAGTTAAATTAATTTTATTTGGTGAGTTACATTTTGTATAGACATCGTACACAATTAAAAAAAATACACAAGTTACAGTGGAATCAAGTTTGTGACTATAATGTGTATCAATAGTTTTAGGGTTTGAATTAAATAAGTGACTAAGTTTGGGCCAATTAGCTTAATATTTGAAAGATTTCAATTCAGAATACACACAATTTTGTTCCAATAGTACTTAGTTTAAAGAGAGAGAGAATGTTTATAGAAAACAATAGTAGAACTTTAGTCAAGAGTAAAACCTACAATGGTTATTTTGACTGAAGATTTTTGTTTAAAATCTAAGAAAACTATAATTAGTCCCCTCAGTGACTTGAAATAGGTTGAAATTTCTTGTTGTCTTTATTGTAGAATGGTTAGTATTTGTTTTATAATCAACATAAAAAATACATAGCATAGTGCCTAGAAAAGGCTTATGTTTACTACAATTCGAATTGAGTAATAATGGTTCTAAAATGTATTGTCAACTAATACGAATATATCAAGGTAAACAATTCTGAATTTTCAAATCAATAAACAGTTCTAGTTGTTAAAGTGTTTGATGCATATGCATGTTGAATGTTAGATAAGTGACAGTTACTTTCTTAATACAAATTTTTTTTTTTTTGCAATTTACACTCTTTATTGTGCCTAGAATTTATTTGAGGCAAAAAAGGTTTTGTCTAATATGTAAAAAATATACTGTTGCTCAACAAAGACTCCAGTGAGAGAGCTGGAAGCTTGCAATTAATTAAAGAAAAATTATTCAGTATAAAGATGTGTATTTATTACATATTAATTTACCTATGATAGAAATTTTTAAAAAATAAGTTAGTCTAATATAAAAAACAGTCATCATAAATTTTGCTGTTCAAGTTTTAATGGGTTATTTTCTCTATGACTGTAAAACTGGTTTTTGAAAGTTGCTCTTCTTTAGACAATATGTACTGAGTATATAATCCAATACAAAGAATTGGACTGAGTAAGGCTTGTATGTATATTTCAAAACAGCTTGTGGCAAGTTAGAAATACTAATTACTATATTAAATCAACTGAATATGAAACTGGTTGTATTAAAAATATTTCTTAAATTAAAAACTGAAATATTATTTTAGTACACAAAAGTCTAGAACTATAGCATATACACACATACCCTAGATGAGAGTTTAGCAAAGTATAGAAACAAACAGAGGGTAATATTTCAGTCCCAAGTTTTAGTCCCTTCTTGGCTTCTCGTAGAGCATTGGACTTGTCCAATTTGTCAGCATCTCTCCTGAAAGAATATATTGTATTTGTACAGCTCTTACACAAATTCACAATTAATATTTTCTTAATACTTATCATTAATATCTTCAACCAATTAAAAACTCAGTTTTAAAAAAAATATTCCACAAAATCCCAAAATATACTTGTTTCTGTCAATGCAAAATAAATTTTAGATGCACAGTTAATCACCAAAGCTGAGATTTTCTGACTCTAAAAATGTATTTCTGATAGGTACTTATCTCTTTTCACCCAAAGCTATCTTGATCCTGGTCTGCCCTTTAAGCATTGTTAAAAAATATTTTTCTACAGCCCACCAGTCTTCATACCCCATTAGTTTTGTGCCATTTCAGAACATGTACTGATCGTGTGACTACTCTCCACCAATCGTACTGTGCCATCTATACTGGCACAGCTAGCTCCCTCAACTATTCTAGAACAATCTTCACTTTCAAGAATTGGCAGGCACAAACTGTAAACACCGGCATCTCAGTGGGAGTGAATGATGAGAAATGGGTGAGAGAATGTAAGTACCTATCAGAAATACATTTTCAGAGTAAGAAAATGTAGATTTTGAAACAGTACTACCTCTGCTCATCCAAAGCTAGAATCCCACATTGCTAAAGTAGAGGGGCTGGTGAAGACACATCAATTTCAAATAAATTGGAAAGAGACTGCACTGAAAGAACAGGTGTGCTGCAACATGAAAACCAATCAATACAGTAACACAATTGGGGTAGAACTGAATTTACAGGCACCACTGAAGACAATAAAGAGACGTACAGCACTGAATCAGTGTAAAAGTGCTGGATAACTATGATATAAATTCAGTATGGTGATGACTAACATGAAAAAGCTTGTGTGTACACAACCACTTTCACTGACGTGTATGTGCCAAGGGAAGTGCTGTGGGTTACCTTGGAGTATGCAAGTACAGTCCACCTGGGCAAAAAATACAGTGGAAACATCTTGTATAAGATATAGCAATCAACAAGTGCATTCTGCATGGGCAAAAACATCAAGTGGAAGTGCCTTGGATACGTAGGATTATGGAAGATATAAATTACTGTTATGAGCGTGATTGTGAGGGTGATCATAACTAGCCCTCTGTCCACATCTACAAGATAATGAGCCATCATAAGAAACAAGACGTTGTACCGAACATAGTGATGATGAGTCATAGATGGTGCCAGTAAATGAGCTAGAGAGAAAAATGAAATAACAATATGTGGCTAGGGCTTAAGGACCAGGAAATGTAATTGAATTGGCCAAGTGCAGTACGCCTGGGCAAAAACATCCAGGGGAAGCACCTTGGATACATAGGATTAGGCCAAGTGTGGTCTGCCCAGGCAAAAACATCCAGGGGAAGTGCCTTAGGATACGTTGGATTATGCCAAGTACGATTCATCCAGGTAAAAACGTCCAGTGGAAGAGCCTTCCATAAGATATAGATATCAACAAGTGTGGTCTGCCCAAGCAACACCCAGGGGGAAATGCTTTTGATACATAGGATTAGGCCAAGTGCAGTTCACCCAGGTAAAAAAACATCTAGGGGAAGTGTCTTGCTTTATGTCAGATTAAGCCAAGTGCAGTCCATCCAGGCAAGAAACATTCAGTGGAAGCACCTTGCATAAGAAATATATATACAATAAACAAGTGCAGCCTACCCGGGCAAAAACATCCAGGATACTGAATATTACTGTATAATTCATTGTTTGGTACAATTATAACAACTATAGCCCTCTTCTTGCTGACTGGGTACCCATAGGCTAGAAAACTCTATTTTGTTTTTCAAAAGCCACTCAGGAGGAAACCTTCATGGTTCACTACTCCAGCAACTGGGAACCAGAAGTGGTAAGGACTCGTGTGCTCCACTAGAATAGGGGGGGGGGGATACAAACTGGGGAGTCAGGAGGAACGGCACACCAGAGACAGTGCAATAGGTTTCCGCAATTCTCTATTTTAAAAAGCAGATAGACCCCGATTGTAGGAATCACGGATCAGTATGGATGGGCAGAAATCCCCAGCTACTTTACTCAGGAGGTTCATGACTAACAGCCCTTTATAAATGAAACTAGTAACTTTTAGTAAAAAAATATAGACATACATACCATCGGACAAGCCAAGCTGTTGGTGGTCTTACAGAAACACTCCATCTCAACAGTGAGCTTTATACAATTATTCATGTCTAGTGCAAATATAATACAAAGCATACCTGACTAGGCAACACCCACCAACAGGTGGAATACTGAAATACGATATGTATCAAGTAAAAAAATATATATAGGAAAGTAATCTGTTGACTTACTCCAGTCAAAGGAGAACATACGTGTGTAGAATCGTCACAGGAGGAAAACGATACCTGCCCATGGAAAACAGCCAGTTTGTGCAGATAACGTGAGATGAATGTATTGGGAGTTGCCCACGTCTCAGCCAGAATGATCTCTTCCAAAGACTAGAAAAGGCAAGCAGCTAAAGACATAGTTACATGATGAATTGGGTGAGAAGAAACATCTTGCAGATGGTGACCACCCATGAGCAAGTCAGAATATGCCAGTTATATAAGTTGATGAATCCAACCAGTGAGAGCAATATGGGAGAGATTACGGGACACAGAGGTAATCCTTATAACAAAAAGATGGGAATAATAACATGAAAGGAGGCAGTACTAGCCACATAACATCTCAGGGAATGAACTGGACAAAGAAGTCTATCCAGAACCGACCAGGAGTACAGGTGGGAAATGGAAGGTAAAACCATCTGTCTGGGTATCAAATTTCTAAAAAAGGAAAGCCCAATCAGGATAGAGGATAAAATATGAGGAATGAGAAAGGATGTGGGAAACATCCATGACATAAATATTGGAATGATGATGACCGCAAACAAGGAGGAAGAGCACATAAGGGTAAGATGGTACAAGAAACACGTAGCAATGGGTTCAAATGGGGAATTGGACAGAGCATGAAGGACAAAATTGAGATCCAATATGATAAAACAAAAGGAGAAGGAGGACCGACAAGATGAAAGGAAAGAAGGGAAATATCAGGGGAGGAGAAAGCCTTCCAGAAATGGGAGAATCAGAAGGTGTTCAACAGGGCAGCCCTATAACTAGAAACAGTTGACATGGACAAATCCTGATCAAACAACCCGGTAAAGAACTACGAAGGTTGAGGTACCAAAAGATGGGAGGGGTGGAAGCTAAGGCAAACAGACCAAGATCTGAAGGTAGACCACTGCCTCTGGTACACAGACAAAAAGAAAGACTGAATGGAATGGGAAAGTCCCTGAGCTGAGGCAAGGTACCGAACAAAAGTAATGCATGAAGATGGAGTTTGGTGATATCAGAATGAACTATGTCTGATCTCAGTTGCTGGAGGAGAGACTGGGAGAGACATAATTTTGCTTCGATAAGGACCAGAGCAGAGGGAACCATGTCTGAGCAGGCCAATATGGAGCAACCAGCAGAACATGACAAGGAGTGGTTTGGATAAGGGAAAAGACTCAGGAGAGGAGTCTGATTGGAGGACAGACATATGGGTAAAGACCCCTTCAATCCTGACTGAATGCATCTACTCCCAAAGCTGAAGGATGTGGAACCAGAGACCAAAAGGAAGGAATTTTGGCATTCCAGTGAGTGGCAAACACACCCACCGAAACACCCGTGGAAGAAGGGGCCAATCTATGGGGAGAACCTGGTTGGGTCGATATAAGCGATCGGCCACCAGATTCATAATTCTGGAAACAAGACACAAGTAGTGGTCATGGGTTCAATAAAGAAGATCCAGAGTCTGAAAACACAGAGATATTAATATGGTTCCCCCTTTCTTGGTGATACAGCTGATGACAGTGAAATAGTTGGAATGAATCAAAGCCTTTCCCAAAAAAGTAAGCAGGCACAATTAACTGACTGGCATGGAGAGGTGAGCAGGAGCCAAGTCATCCATGAAAAGGAGAGTCCAAGACCCAACGAGTAAAAATGATGGACAAAAGAGCGTACCATTTGACAAAACACTGGTAACTGAAGAAGGACCAAATGGCAGCATCCAGAACTGGAAGACACAACTCTCATGGACAAACCAAAGAAAACGACATGACACTGGAGCAGTTGGAAAAAAAGATAGGTATTCATCACAATGAATTGGTCATCCAGAGTCCCAGGGAAAAAAATCCAAAGTGAGAGGAAGACTTCATAGTGAAGCAAGGTGGCTCCAGATAAGAGTTCAACCAGGATAGGTCCATGACAGGTCTCCAATCTCCCATATTTCGAGAGACAACAATTAGGCAAGAGTAAGACCCAGTTGAGTAGGTACCAACCAATCGACAACCCCTTTGTGTAGTAGGTCTTGAACAGACTAGGCAGGATGACTGGAAGAGGTACAATCCCACAGAGGAAAGAAGGAGATATAGAAAGTGTATGGGGGGGAGCAGAACTGAAGGCAGAAACATTCAGACAGAACCTGTAGAACACACGATACAGTTGTGAAGTGTAGACAAAAAGACACATATAATATAGAATTCATAAGTCCATTCAAAGAACAAATAAGACAAAGGACACAAAAGTAAAACCTACCCTGAAGAACATGAGAATAAAAAGGCACCCAGTTAACAAAAACAAAATTTGACTCAAATCTAATCCTCAATTACATGTAACTAGTAGCCAAAAAAAAGGAACTTACAAACTAACTAACATAAACAGAGAAAGGAAGTATAAATAATGAACCAACATACCCACAAAATTGCCCGAAGTTACAATTACCCAAACTGTAACTATTGTGCAAAACCTGTACATATACTAAAAATTAAAGAAAACCAAAAACAAAGTAATAATCAAACTGTAAATGCCCACTTAAACTAAAGTAACTTAAATGGTAAAAGAATTATAAAAATCTAACTTACCAAATACTGAGCAGAGAAGACATAAAAAACCTAAATTATCACATGAGGAAATTAGGTCAATCCACACAAGTTCACATAAGCTCAATAAACATGGGTATATCTACTAAGAGAGAGGAATACACACTGAAAAACTCACCACATATCTCCTGGAATAAAGAACAATACCTAATCCAGGAGAATACATGGAGGCATGGTACCAGGTGGAAGGTGCAACAGAAAAAAAATTGCACTTAGTAGTTATATCCTTCCTGACAAAAAACTGAAATGTGAAAGGAAGGAAGTGTTGGCCGAACGTAAGACATGAACTAAAGCCTCTACTTCCCCAGCAGACATCATCAACCCTGAGATTTGTGTCAGTCAACTGTCGCAGGAATTTCATCATCTGCCATAATAAATCTTGAATTCATATGAACAAATCAGAATTTGGAAAACAGAAATATTGCTAAAACAAATGAGTAGAAACAATGGAAATCAAACACAAGAAGGCAAAACTTGAAGTTGAAACTGATATAAATTTGTGGTCAAGCACAATCAAAATTTTGTAGTCACATGGAGAGCAAGTTAAACACACGTCTGCACAATAGAATACCAATTGAGAATTGTTCTAGAATAGTGGAGGGAGCTAGCTGCACCAGTATAGATGGTGCAATATGATTGGTGGAGAGTAGTCACATGATCAGCATTTGTTCTGAAATGGTGCAAAACTGATGGAGTATAAAGACTAGTGCACTGTAGCAAAATTATTTTTAACAATGCTTAGAGGGCAGACCAGGATCAAAATAGCTTTGGGTGAAGGAGGTAGTGCCATTTCAGAAAATTCCTAAAGAACACTGCAGGTTCACCAAAAGAAATTGAAATATAAAGGGTAAGCTCAGGATTAATTTACAAGAAAATCTATAAAGATTTTGTATTTATGGCAAAGTTACTAGGATTATCTGCTGCTGTCCCTAATTTTGAACTAATGATAGAGGGAAAGCAGATGGTCAGCAGCACCATACCACCCATGATAAGGGATTGACTTTCATTCTTATAACTCACTCACAGCTTAAAGTTGGGGGGGGGGATAGTTTATGGTACATCACATGAACTCAAACCCAGCTAGCCAGCTCTGAAATTCAGAGCTCTACCACAGGATACCCTCATGCCATATAAAGGTAAAAACAGTTGTAAATTACTACAATTTCATAACTTTTTAAGAAAGTGTATAATATAATAAATTTCTATTTCACAATAATCTTATGTTGCTTTTTACTTTGCAACCCAGTGTCTTATTTTGAGAATAATATGACATTCATCAGGTTAATTTTGCTTTTCTTTTTAGAAAATGTAAAACAAAAACTACTACAGCTAAGTTTCTTAAAACTGAAATGCATTTCTAAGCCCTCTATTGACAAAGAATATGTTCGTTAGCAAAAAAAAAGAGAGAGATAGAGAAAGAAAATGTTTAAGTTAATATGAATTTCTTGAACATAATTTCTTCTGTACTGATTGAATTACAAGTAAAAAATAAAATCCAAAAAAACAAGTGTGTATAAATGTTATAACGAAATATTTTTGTACAGAGCATTGAGAATTAGAACAACAATAAAAAATAATTAATCATACAATTCCGGTAAAGGAATCCTGTTATTTGGAGGAGCATTAGGGTCATTTCGGGCCTTCTTAGACAGCATAGGATCCTTTTTAGGTTTCTTTTTCTAATGGATTAAACAAAGAATAAACTGGGTATTATAACACTGTGTAATACTTTATTTTAAATTTTACACACAGAGCTTTCACAAATTTTTTTCAATTATAGTTAGTACTAAATAACAATCTCCCTCTAGCTTTCAGAACTAGCATTACATGAACTATAAATAAGTACACCAAAATTATAGCCAGTAATTTCTTTTCATAATAAAAAATTCTGCTTGTTCATTACTTTCAAAAATCTTTGATTTGTAATAGAAATATTTATGTTAGGACCTCTGACATATTACGAGTATTATAAAAAAGTTTTCTTTCATATGATAAAACTTCCTACAGACACAATGGATGATGTAAAATTAAATATATATTTAACATAACCACCTACTCAAGTTATCCAATACTTTTTAATGACTTTTTTTAATTTTCTTTATAAATACTAGTGGATGTATTTGTGTAAAGTATGGTGAGAGGTTTATAAAAGTTAAGTTATTTATATGATTTATTTATTGATTTTATAGCAGTTGTAGAATTAATGTTTTACCAGTTATGAATATACATAGTGTTTTTGTCCTAAATATGCCAGTAATGATTAAAAGTATATAGACTGTATGTACACCCCATGTAAAGAAAGAAGAAACTGGAGAAATCCCATCAGTTTTTCTTCTTAACAGGTCCCTATCACTCCGGAAGATATATTTTAGCCATTGCTCAGACCCAATTCAGGTTTCTCCACATTCCTAAATAGCAAATTCATTTTTACAAAAAAGTTCAACACTATCCAACTTGAAGTGATTAAACCAAAAAAATTACAACATATTGTGCAAAATGTATACCTACCTTCGGTTTATCTTCTCCTTCACCAGACTCTTCTTCATCATCAACAGGTAAAGGTAGCTCAGGTTCTTTTAGAAGACCATAGTATACTTTTGTGTTGTTTGCTTGAAGAAACAAAGAGAACAAGCAAATAGTTAGCCAATCCTTTCTCATCTCTAAATGTTTAATAGTTTTCTTTTTAGTTAAATATTTTAAAACTTCCTAAACCTGTAATGGAGGTACATACTACTTTAAGCTATTATATCTAACATCTGATATATTTCAGGAGATTCCTCTTAGAAACCTAATTATGCCATTAGCATTCATTGTGTATTTTAACACTTTGTTTTTTTGTTTATAATCAATTCATATTCTTGAGAAATTAAAAGTTAGTTGGTAACTTTTTTAAAACCACAATTTTAGATTTGGCAAATATACAAGAAAAGCATGACTAAGAGAGGCTACAAACCAGTGTAAGCAAATATTCAAATGCTTTAATTGTGTTATTACTTCAGATCTGTACTCAGCCACAGAGCTAAGCTTTCTGTGGCAAACCACTTGAACTCTTATAGCGCATGTTATAACGTGTAAACATGTTACTACATACTATAATTTTAATCACAAACTTTAGGCTTAAAAAAAAACTCCACATGCAACTTAATCTACTCTAAGAATTTTGTTACTAATAGATTCAACACAATTATCTTAACACAAAAAAATGTTGTGATGAAAATTTAACCATTACTCTTATTTATTTTCCTCCAGTTTAAATGCCATTAACCTTATTGCAATGGGTTCCTGTATTTTACATGACCTTGTAACCGTCAAGTAACCATGGTGGTATACATACTATAACTCTGAAATTATTAATTAATGTATCTTCACAAAGTTTTCAGTAAAAGTTAAGTCTTTTACAGACAAAAAAAAATCAGAATTTTTAATAAAGTATTTTCAATAAAAATTTCTTCATGAATATATGGAGTTAAAGCGTTTATTGCTCCAAGCATAAAGTGATTTTCATGTTAAGATTAAAAATACTTTTCTTCAACTGAAAAATGTCAATTTTCATTTGTGTAATCTCTCAAACCACCTCAATAAATTTCAAGCAATTTTTCTCTGTAAAAACTGTATATTTTATCCGTCATTTTCTTTTCTCTAACTCTAACAAGGTCGTTAAAATTGACGGACCTCATAAACACCATAAAAAATATGAAATAAATCAAAATTATCCTTTTTTCTTTCTACAATAATTCCAAATTGTAACAAGAAACTACATCTGTTTATCCTAAATAACTTTAAGCTCGTAAGAGTATATATCAAAACAGAATAAATGATTCTTATACTTTTGACTGATCCAACATCAATAAAGCTAAGAAAAATCTCAAACATAAAACTTAGCTTGTAAATAAGCTTTACTCATTTCCACAAGATTGAAAAGAGCATAATCAAGTACTAGATCAGACACTTTAGTAGTGGATTTAACATATAAGTATAAACACATAGATAATTGTGTGTTTATAATTTCTATGACACAAAGCAGGTAAATTATTCAAGTATGTGCAACTGCATAGAAGATTATTTATAATTGACAATATACATAATAAAGTTTCATATTTTCCTTCCCTAACAGATGTTGTTCACTAAGTCACCCTAAACCTCATTTATCAAACTTTTCCTTCTGTTTAATTAATATATGTTTCAGTATCTAACTGTGATTCAAGTAAGTTTTTTAACTTGTAAGAAACTTTCTAACTAATTTTTCAAGAGAAAGATCTTGTAATAGTACACAAACTGCCCAAATCATTTATAGTTCACTCTTTCTAACAACATATTTACTACATACAACAAAAGAGTTTCAATGCTAAAGTAAGCATCTCTAAGCTTACCTTGTCTTGTAGCTTCACCTAAAACTGCTCCAGCCGTAGCATCTACTTGTTGTTTATTTCTGGCCATGCCTTCGTAAACTTTTCATAAAAAAAAAATCTTTTAAATTGTTTACTGTTAAAATTACTGTTTTAGCATGTAAAAATAACAAGCGGCAAGTTACTTCAAATACTAGTTGTACAAAAACTCTTTGAAAATTTCACTTTCCTATTTATTACTTAAATAAAACTACCTCAATACCAATCAAGTAAATATACTGATGCTATACAGTCATGCTGTTATTTAAATAACACAAAATAAAACAAATCTAGATTGGGTAGCAATTTGTCCAATATTATTTGAATACTTACCATCAAAATACAGATGTTCTTGTATTATATTGTGGAGAAGACTGTTTTTTCTGTTTTGCAACTGTCTCTTTAAATAATTGTATGTGTCTCTGGACATTCTCAATGTGAATTGTTCTGACCTAAAACAATAAAAAACTATTCTTAAGACAGCAAAATAACCACTAAAATGGCAGGTATTTTATTTATTTAATACTGCATAGAAAAAAGCAAGTTATTAATTCACCAATCACATGATAAAGTTTTGCAAAAACTTACTCATTCCAAGTACCAAGTTTTGTTTTCTATTTCTTATCTGTTATCAACTTTTAATTCCAATTTCATGCATAGTTTTAAAATTCATAGAGTTGCAAATAATTTCTTTATGAATTATTTTATAGTGCTATCTATCTTGAAGCAAGTTGCAAAACTGTTACAAGTTAGACTTAATAAAGCTTCATGTGTCAAACTTAGCAAATCACAAACAATTACAAATTTATTTTCATGTACTTGCACCAAGCTTACTTTAAAAACATAACTAATAAAAGAACATTAAGTACCTCATACAAGATAACAGGCTCTTTAAGTTCTAAAAACTTTATAGCCTATTATTGATGATAAAAAAGTAACCATACATCTTATCTTTAGCACTCCTTTAACCCTATCACTACAAGTTCAACAACTTAGAAAATGCAAAAATATTTTGTCAAAAAAAAACCAATAAAAACACATCATCTTAATAATGCATAATGATTAAAGAAGTAAAAAAACATAAAAAACAGACTAGATTTTAACTTAACATACTAAATGCTGAGAACAGTTTTACTCTATCCCTTGAGAGTAACAAGCTTGGTCTGTCAAAAACTAGTGGGTTTTTTATTTTTTGTTAATTCTTTAATCATTTGTGCATCATTATGTTGACATGTTACTGTTGTCTTTTATGACCTAGCAAAAAGTACTTCTCATTCTTTAAATATATATGTTTGGGTGTAACTAGAACATTACAAAAACTTTGTATCGACATAAATATCTTGAATGATAAATTTTGAGTATAAGAGCAACCGGTAATTTGTGCCACAAGTGCTGTTGCTCATATCCCATCCATTTTTCATTTACACTTGGTGTGACTTAAAAAGCTTCTCGTGCAATCGTGAGCAAAACTGATACCTGCCTCAAGCTTGTAGGTCTATAAAAAATATATATAATTGCTACAGCTTCATACTAAGGTTATTTTCTCAATAATGTTTGTCAAATACTTTTTTAATTTTGAAAATATGTAAAAATCTTGACATTTATATACATTTCTATTTATTTTTTTTGTTGATACTTGACTGTTTCTGTATGTTTTCTAGTCAAACATTCTAGTATCTAAAAAGTCATGAATAATTTCTCCATTGTGGAGTTAGGATGGCTAGATTTGGTTATCTGTGAAAAGTAGTTTTCTTTATAAATACACAGCCAATTTGAGCCTAGTTTTGTTTTTTAATTCTTATAAAGTTTCTGTATTTTCCAGTTAAAACTATATGTATAATTGTCTTATGCTTGTATCTTATGTGTTTTTAAGCAACTGGCAATGGACATAGAAATTTATTATTTAGTATCTCAGTATTTGCTTTTTAAAGACACAAATAGTAATGGAATTACAAATAATGCTTAATTAATGAAACAATTTGTTGAAAATAAATACTCAATGATACCATTTTTCTTGTTTTTTAGTACAACAATGTGAATTTTTTAAAGTTGTAGCAATAGAATTTTTTTACAATATTTCATAAGAAAAAAATATTATTTAGAATTTTATCTTTGTTCTCTGTACCTTGAGAGTACCATGGAAGCATGATAAGTGGCAGGTCTTTAACTACCAATCAGATAAACGTCTGTTGCCCTATTTATTTTTTGTAATTTTTTTTTACAGACTTGATGTCAAAATTTTGCACTAAAACAAGTGAACAATCTACTATGTATGTGTCATCACTTGTAAGCTCATAAACAACACTCATTTCATGAATGTCAATGCCTGTATAGATAGATGTTTGACTCCTTTTAGCTTTCTTTCTTGCCCATTCTACATAACAGTACTAACTGTGAGACATTTGCTTGATTTTTTTAAAAATTTAGTTATAGACCTGAAAAGTGTCTGGCAATCTAATTTCTCCAAAATTATGATTGATAATCATTTTAGAAATTTATTTCTTTTTTGTTGTTGTTGTTTTTTTTGCATCATTTAATCCCACAAACACGCATAATATCATTATGAGTGTTTGTTTTAGGCATTTTTTATAATTCTATATTCATGTCACTGAAAAACAAATAAAAAACATACTAAAGCCATTTTTCTCACTTGAAATTATCCATAAGTTCATTTCGTTTCATGTGGTCTTTTTTGGTAACTGAGGCTAATTTCTGAATGTCATCTTGGTAATACTCTTCTTGTTCTGGTCCAAATTTTGCCATAAAACCAACAGCTGTTAAAAACAAGAGATTTAAATGATAAACTAATGAACTTTAGTTAAATATGATTCAGAATAGGTATATATGTTACCCAAATTTATAGCTAATCACATCTCTTCTCCATAATGACCTTAATCCCACTCGTTTGGGGTTGGTCAGTTTTGTGAGACAAGAATTTTTACACCCAAGTGGCTGGCCCAGACAGAAACCATTGAAGACAAGCATGGTCAGCAACAGGGTTTTGAACGTGTGACCTTTAGATTATAAGTCGAGCACCTTAACAACCAGGCCATGCCAACTAATCACTAACATGTCACAATTATTTATCAAGCTACTCTAAAGTTACACTACTGGTGCCATTTAAAGGGCTTCCTTTGACAACAAGCCATTGTTAGAAAGGAGTTTTGAATTCACTGATGTCTAGTTCTTCAAGGATCATTAAATCTCTGATAGTAGTAAATTAACAAATAAGAATTTGTAAGCACAATGATATAGAGCAAATTAGAGCTTGCTAATTTACTAGTGTAGTAACATAATTTGCTTCCCTACACAAATATCTATGATAACACTTGAAAAACTAGATTTTATGTGATCTATAAGATCTGTTCTTTCTTTAATTTTACCTTCATTAACAATATTGGTTAGAGTAACAAGATTTCCTTTTTTCATAACAATTATTATACATTGTTAGCTTAGTATAGGGGTTTAGGAATAACCTAAATTTCCTAAGTTCATCAAAACCTATGAGATATTACTGGGATTATGGACAAAAATATTGCTAACAGTGAAGATACCCAAATGATGATACAATGCATTCTGATCCTTGTATTTGGAATGTGTGAATGGTGTATACTTAATTGGCTATAGTCATTGCTAGGTTGATTTTTGGTTAAGTTGCTTTTAACAGAAGTCAGTATTAGTTACAAAAGTAAACAAAGTTTTCAAAGCTCTAACTTATGCTAGGTCAGTTCGTGTTTGATATATACAGTAGTGATTCATTATAATGAAATTGGTTACAACTTTCTTTGATATAAAGAAGTGATATAAAAGTAGTGTCATCTATAGCTTAGCTCATTGCCACGTGGCTTCAGAGGCTAAAATCATTACACTCTGTCATGAAATATAGGGAAAAAGCAGGAACTCCTGAGTGCCCATAGATGTGAACTTGATATTGGGATGTTGGGAATCAAGGTAAGAAATGAATTTGGTAATGTGACTTGATTTTTGAAACAACAAGAAAGTGTCACTGATGTAGCATTGGTATAGGATGGGTTTAAAGTGACCTGGGCAGTTTTCTAGCCACTTTCTAGCATAGAAAACTATTGGCTACAGTTGGAACCAGCAGTGATTCCATCTATCTGGTCATAAATGACATCATTAAAGAAGCAATGGTTTAACTTTGTGGAGGGGATAAAAAGTTCCAAGAATTATTTAAGGGTGAAACAAAGATACTGCTCAGTGTCAGAAGAAGATAGAGATGTCATGTTGTTAATTGCAGCAGGTTTACAGTAGTGTTAACCAGACTAAAGTATCACTTTTTAAGTAAATAAGTGAAGATGAATGTGCTTTGTTTCTGAAATATCAGAAAGTTTGTATTAATATTTTTTATTAATATTATTGTATCTATGTTCCTTTTATATCTATTTTCCTTATGTAAATAAAGTTATTTCATTTAATTGATTGCTTTAGTAGTCTATTGAATCCATACTTGTTCAGCACGAGTGCCTTCATGACTAGTTGATTATAACACTCCCCGTCCTATATCGCTCTCGGGTGCATGTGGTTCTCCATATTAGCATAATAACGAGGCAGTAAGTACTGTACATATACATAATTCTTTCCATTTGATGCGTGCTCTTCTCATACAGGCACATGCACAAATCTGTTTACACATGATATTTGGTACACACATCACACGTCACATCAAAATTTTAAAGAAACGTGTTATCTATGAAAATGCATTGGGCAACAAAGTAATAGATCTTTAATTCACTGTGAATGTTCATGAAGCATAGAATAATAACATGCAAAAAGCAGACAATGTTCTATAACTATCAAAATTTTTCTGGTTTTCTAATTATACCACAAGAGCCATTAAAAATTCAGCTGAGCTCATCAATGTGTTTCCCATGGGAACAAAGTTTGAATTGGAAGCAAAATAGATAATTCTCTGTACAGAAAATAGCATAATATAATACACATTTGAATAATAATATAGTATTAAATGTCAGAGAGAACTAATGGCAATATGTGAAAGAGAGGTTGTGACAGGTGGGCATGGCAATAGGGGTCAGATTTTCTAGTTTATGGCTCTGTAGTCAAATAAGATTGAAAGCTACAAAAATTATGCTTTGCCTGAGTGATGACAACATTATAATGATGAATTTATGTTCAATTTCGTATATCTCAGATGGATGGTAAATAAATTAGAGAAGAGAGAATACATTGAGAGCAAATATTACAATTCTCATATTAAGGAAAAATTGAGGATTTTTGTTTAATACTGCTTTACAAAATTAAGATTTTAAAACTTATATAACATAAAAATTTGGATTATTAGCTATATTCTGATGCCAAGTTTATTTGTATACAATGATAATAAAGAACTTTAATTAAATTTTGAATGTAACTCACTAGAACCTTGTGACATGTGCAGAAACAAAATACCCATAATAAGAGGGTTAATGAAATGAAAAATACTGTTGTATTACATGCAGGCTCAAAGAATCAGCTCGTACCATTAAGCAGCATTGGAAATCAACAAAGGCTTTAAAGGCTTCACTAAAGAAAGATCACAGATATGTCCCATTACAAAAAAATTATACTTAAATAGGAGTCCCACAGTGTCATATCATGAGAATAATGCAAGTCAAATAAATATTAATAAATTATGTAATAATGTAATTATCAGCATCTTTTTACATGTGTAAAAGGTCTTGATCCAAGGATAAATAAATGAAAAACACATATAAATAGATTGAGTATGTTATATATTGAGTATGGTTTTGGAGCCTCACCACATCATTACAGTCTAATGTCCATTCAAGCTCTATCTAATGACAATGCATTTTGCCAATAACCTTGCAGTGTAGTTTCCACTACAAAAAGCTTCAATGTATGTCATGTCCAAAGTATACCAATGGTTCTTGTATGCTTTTCATAATCCATCTAGTGTATATAGACGATGGTTTCCCAGGTCTCAGTTCAACAGTCTAATTGCATAGAAATCTACAGGTGCTGCAAGAATTGACTTAACCAGTATGTCTTTATATGGAAGAGCATGAATGTCAGTTTCATTCTCCAGATGAGTGGATAAGTTGTTAAAACAACTTGTTTATGTGTGACTTGTGTCACTTTTCCACATGGAGACCCTTCTTGATTATGTTGCATATTATTGCCTGGGGCATGTGGATGGCTTTTGCCACTGACCATTGATCCTGATCCCCAAATCAAACCATATTCCTTTGTTTTCCAATGCTAATAAGTACAAAGGATATTGCCACCTTCTAAATCCCTGGTCTGAACATATCTATATTATTGGAGTATATGGATATCATGCATTAGAAAGGGTTGTTACATACCCTTTCCAAAAGTGATCATTATTTGATGACATTACACTACCTACAAAGCACCAAACAATGCTAAAATGTAGTTCTGATACATCACATTCCACTACGACTTTATATCGGCTGTAGTTGTCCTGTGATATACTGATCTGCTAATTTTAAATTGTTCTAATGTAACATACTTAACCCTCTGTAAACTCCAGGGTAATTAATATTATGTGCACAGATGTCTATCAATAAACTTGGCATCAAACTTAATTAATAAATCAAATTTTAATATAAGATTTAATTTCTTAGTTTAAAAAGAAATAGAAAAAAAGAAATTGCTCATCACTCTTGTATGTCACGACACGTTTAGGCTAAAAGTTATTCACTTTACACTTCATTACTACTACCATACAATGTTAACAATGCTTAGCCAATTAAAAACAAACTTCACATACTGGCATGATAGGACATAAAATAAGAACCACCATACTTCTTGATTTACTGAAATATCAATATATTTATCAAACCTACCATAGAAGCCCATTCTATCCCTTTCCCTTGTTTACTCACACCTTCCTCTCTCAAGTACATGTTTATAAATTGAAAGAACAGATTCTGAACCACCTAAATCTGATGGTTGTTTGTCAACTTTATGGCAAGAAAAGCTGAAATTTGCTACAAAATTTTTGAAGTGTGTTTATTAAAATCATTACTCTGAAGAAAAATGTTTTTGTTTTTTTACCTATTTACACCTTAGTCAGAAAGCCAGATAAGGTATCATAGTTTTGTAATGTCATATCCTAGTGACTGACAATCTTAAGATTTTCCTAATATTTAAAATCTATAAAAAATTAATTTATATTTGGCTCAGTTTGAGAGGATCAACAAGGCTGAGGGCAATGGTAGGCAACCATGTCTTCCTAAGGGCAAATATACTGAATAACATTTAAGTACCATAAGTCATAGTTTTTATATATTTTTTTTATTATTTATTGTTATATGTTTCAACAAAAATAAATAAAATTTAAGCACTTATGAGCAAAGAGTAACAATATATATCTATATGTAATATATAGTAATTGATATATCATTGTATTTGACAAAATACTGGTACATTAATTTACAGATATGTACTTTGTATGTCAGTTTTACTATCTAATTATCAATTTGTCTAGTGAACATATGTTATTCTTCTACTCAGGTGGAAAATACACATCTCATGACCTTTTTTTTTTTACAATTTGATTATGAATGTATGTCAGTAAACTTAGCATTAAACATAGTATATAATAGTATAAAAATTGCATTTTAATATAAATTTGTATCACATGATGCATCTTCACACCAAATTGCCCATTTTTTTTCCCCCCCATCTATCCGTTGTTCTTCCAAGTTTGACACAAATTACTTGTACTACAGATATTGCTATGCCATAATGTAAATTTTCCTCCAACAGTATTGCTTTACTGAGATAATTCTAAGAGTTTTGTATGTTACAGTTTACTGGAAACAACGTAAAGGCTCACTCTGTGATTTAGTTTTACTGCTACTTATGGCAAGATAAAAATATGTTTAATGGTTTTAAACTGTGAATAGATGTAGTTTGTAACTTTCTGGTCAATAATGAAGAGGAAAGAGTTTTATAAATTTTTTCCTTTTAACCATTCTTTTCATTATATTTAGATAATTATACCCTGGAGCCAAGTACACTGATGGTGTAGAGAAATCTCAGATAAAATACACACTGCTACAGAAAACAACTTTTGATATTCACTTAAGAGATTCCAGAAGTTATTCAAATGAAATATGAAAACTTTAAAATGAAAATAAATATTTTTATTCCTTTCATGTAGACTGACTCAGCAAAATCTCAGAAGAATCTTCAGTAGAAACACTATTAACAAATTAAATTTTTTTTCACACCATACTTTTAACATTTTCTAATAAAACTGCCAAATTTCATGAAGATACATGAAGTAAATTTAGAATTGTAGTTATCTTTAATTCTCAAACATGGGCTAGACCCAATGGACTGGGCACAAGTGCATAAGGTTAAGAAACACTAACTTATATTTCCATGCAAAAACATCTTGCCTGTCTAAGTAAACATATATGAGAAAAATAATGTAAATATTCCTATATCATGAAATTAAATATTCTATCCTTAAGCCAGATTCCACCCACAACAGTTACTCTAAGAGACTTATAAGACAGAAAAATCTCATTATATTACACACAATAACAGGTACAAAACCTACCTTGTATTTCATGGTCATTATATACCAGTTCAAGGTACATCCGTACAAAAACTGGGTACAGAATCATAGATAATTCATACTGAAAAACAAAAGATAAAACATTATAATACGTATATTTATTAAAATTAACAAGCAAAAGCTATGGGCTGACTTTCATACCAACATACAGTCAATTCAATTTTATCAATTGTATCTCTTCATATACTGAACACAGCAAGAGTACGTAAACTTTCATTAATCTAATTTTTCACTTTTTGAGTTACATGAGAACATTCACCAGTATACTGAGTGCAATGTTTGTTGTTGTTTATGTACAGTATTTCTTGCTATGGTGGCTTGGAGATGTCATAGACTGGCAGCTTTCAGTTTTTATAGAAACAGCTGAACATGATTATCTATTTCCACAAAAATTATAGCTCAAATTCTTTCAACTAAACAAACTGACTTCTTCATACCAACAACAGAATTTTACTTAACAAATTAGTTTCAGCTCTGGACTTCAAATAGGGGCACTGCTCCTTGAGTAACAGTTTGTCCAGAATCTTAAACATGTTTTAATACCAGAGTGGAACAACGATCCCCAGCAGTGATTTGCCAGATCAGTGTAATGAACATGGTAATGTCAGGCTGTAATTAATTCAAGGAAGGTCATATCCTCTAGTGATAGTCACTTTGGTAAAGTTATTATGAATTCTGGGACTTTTTGCTTTTTTAGTTTATTGAAATTAAATTAACATGCAAAAATTAATGTGCCATCTACAGTGCCAACTGCCTAACATCTGAACAGCAAGCACATGTTTACAGGACATTGGATATCTCTAAAGCTACATACTATGCTGATGCATTGTTCAATGTTCTCACTAGGGTCCCACAGTTAAGGGTTCCAGATGCTCAACTTTTTTTTTAAAAGAGCCCCAGTGAGCTTTCCAAGGGTCCCATAAGTAGAATTTAATGATTAAAAAAAGTACTTCAATGTCAATGAAAAACTTTATTTACAGTGTACTCTACATGTTTACCTTCTGCAAGTGGAAAAAAAAGCATGTTAATGTTCAATGAAAAACTTTATTTACAGTGTACACTACATGTTTACCTTCTGCAAGTGGAAAAAAGCATGTTAATGTTCAATGAAAAACTTTATTTACAGTGTACACTACATGTTTGCCTTCTGCAAGTGGAAAAAAAGCATGTTAATGTTCAATGAAAAACTTTATTTACAATTTACACTGCATCTTTACCTTCTGCAAGTGGAAAAAAGCATGTTAATGTTCAATGAAAAACTTTATTTACAATGTACACTGCATGTTTACCTTCTGCAAGTGGAAAAAAAAGCATGTTAATGTTCAATGAAAAACTTTATTTACAGTGTACACTACATGTTTACCTTCTGCAAGTGGAAAAAAGCATGTTAATGTTCAATGAAAAACTTTATTTACAATTTACACTGCATGTTGTTTCCCTTTAATAGTTTATGAATGCAAAATAATTTCCATGATAAGATTAAAAATACTCTTCTTCATCTAAAAATTTTCAAATATAATTTGCATAACCCCTAAACCCTCCTAAATAAATACTAAATATCGTTGTTTTTTCAGACAAACTTTATATTTAATCTGCTATTTTCTTGACCCTCACTCTATGTGAGATTGGATAACTTGACTGACATTGTAACTAAAATAAAAAAATAGAAAATAATTACAAGTATCCCCTATTTTCTTTCTGGAATGACTGCAAATTATAACAGAAAACCACAACTGTTCATCCTAAGTAGCTTATCCTTTCGTTACATGAGCTAGGGGTCAGAGGGCATGTCATAACATTTGTAGACTTACATTCAAAATTTTATTGAACTACTATTTTATTAATGTATATCAATAAACTTGGTATCAAACTGTAGATTCAAATTTTAATATCATACATTAGATAATTTCTTAATTTGAAAGTAAATAAAATAAAAAATAGCTAAATATTGATTTTTGTGTGTCACACTGATACATCATCTTTGGAGTTTGGTCAGATTACATTTTATGATGCCCACAATACAACTTTTATATTTTCATATGAATTATAAACTCAAATTTCCAATATTGTCAAGCTGGAATATAAAATAAGAAACTCCTATCTTTTCTATTTGCTAAGATATCATAATATTTATCAAGTTCATCATATTGTTTATCTATGCCTACTTTTATATACCAATAACTTTATAACCAATCGAAAGCTCTTCATTTCTTCTACATAATTCTGTTACTCTTCCTAAGTTACTTAAGAGGGAAAAGCTCTTATATCATTGGAAAGTTTGAATTATTATGATCAAGGCTATTTTGTGAATAGAAATAAAATTTTTTTAGACCCAAATACAATTTAGTTAGGAAGCCTGATAAATTACAGTGGATTTTTAGAGTATCTGTATACTATTTATACTTTTTTGTATTCCAAAATCCTTGTATAAAGTCTACAAAAATTATTATTTTTTCCATCTCCTCATGTAAATTTGGACAAGGCTTAGCAATTATGGCTCACAAGTGCAGACAAGGACTTTGTAGCATCATAAGTACTAGAGATCAGTGCTTTCTGAATATTTTTCATTTACTGTTCTATGTTTGAAAAATAAACTGACATTTAAGTATTTATTTACAAATAATATTCACAATACATACATATACACACACATATGTAATGTATGGTAGCCAAGTTTACTTACTTGCAGGTAATACTTTGTAAATTCTCGGTTTAACTTGCAGTTCGCTAGTGAATAATTTGTTTCTAAAGTTACAATCAAGAAGGCTCAGCCAAGAATATTAGCACAATCAAAACAAGTCATATTTATATTACTTGAAACTACACATTTATTGGTTACTGTGTAAGCATGCTAAAACAGGACACAGAATGTTCATAAGCACTTACACACATTTTACACCTATACCAACACTAAATTCCAACCACCCAGGAAGATAACTAGCATCCAAATACTTAACAAGTTTATTGGATTTGATACAACTTTATACTTTGTAGAAAGTCATATCATAAATATTTTCTATCATTTTTATAAAGTACTTTAGACGATTCTTGTTACAACCACTGTACTGTAAAGAAGCCAGCACCACCAAACTGTGTTCTTCGAGCCAGCAATTGAATAGATTCTGTAGGATATATCAGCTTATCAACTTATTGGAACAGCCCAGACTTTCTCCAACATAAACATTTTATAATACTTTAGACAATTGTCATTGAATCCATTATACAGTCAACATGTTGATAAATCCTACCCACTATACTTTCAAAGCAGTGAAAGTTCTGGGAACTGCACAACATGAGCTTATTTTATATTGACGATGTCAAACTAAGTAAGGAACGGCAATTCACTGCTTTATATTTGGCAGGTTTCTACTTTAGCCACTAACAGCAGATAAACATAGGAAATAGGTATGAAAAGTTAGAAGAAACTCTCAGGAATTTTACTATGGAACTTAATGATCCATACTGATAAAAGACAGACAGTATTATTCATTTTGTTTTGTCTCGTTTCTAAGTCAGCTCCTAACAATAAAATTACTACAGAAAATAAGTGGGAAAAGGTGAGAAATAAAAACTCTTTGAAACTTTGTGATCAATATAACAATACAATACATTTTATTTTGCACACTACAAACTTTATTTTCGTTATACAACCTGGAGAACCAAGTATAATGTTACAGTATAGGAAATAACATAAAATATAAAGTTTTAATGAAAAGAGTATTTGATATTTAATTACGAGGTTATTTATTTTTCATTTGTTTTATTTATTTATTATTATAAAAGTAACTAAAATCATAAAAATAGAAACTTATTAGGTAAGATAATGAAAGAAAAATAATAAAAATCATCATAGGGTATAATAGTGAGCAACTTGTGCATTACGCTATTTGATACGGTAACATGAGCTGCATGTGTGCCATGTAATTTTCAACTTGTATCAGGGTATTTCTAGTCAGACATAGTTCAAAGGTCAATAAAATAAAAGATTTATAAATATAAATAGATGTATACTGTTACAAGAATTAAGTTATTTAGAATAAATATTTGTGGCTTCGTGTCACAATTTGCAGTTATTCTAGAACAAAAGAAAGGGTAATTTAGATTTATTTCCTATATTTTATGATGGTTACGAGGTCGGTCACATCGACTAACACCATACAGAGTTAAGGCTGATAAAGTAACAGATAAAATATAAAGTTTTATTCAAAAAAACATTTGATGGTTATTTAGGAGGATATAGAAATTATGCAAACAAAACTTGAAAACTTTCAGACAAAGAAAAGTATTTTTAATCTTAAAATCAAAATTACTTTGTATGTTAGATAGTCAACATTTTGAAAGTAAAATCTTTCATGAGAAAATCTTTAATTAAGAAATCTTAATACTTAATTTAAGAACCTGATATTTTGTGTACGAAAGCCTTGTAATGTTTATCAATAACCTGTGAAAATTTGTGAAGATACATGTACCTAAAAAAAAATTATAGTATAATTACTCTCGTGGGTACATGTGGTTATGAGCTCAGACGAATTCCACTCAGCCCGTATTAGTAGGATTAAAGCTTGTAACAGTATATACTATTTATACTTAAATTTTATTGTTTTCTTGCCCTTTGAACCATGTTTAACTACTATTCTCACCACATAAATTGTAAATCACATAGCGAATGTGCAGCTCACATTATGGCATTGAATTACATAATGCACAGACTACTCATTAGCGTACCTGATAAAAATTGATAATATTATGATTTATTTTATTTTATTTAACCTAAAGTTTTCAATTTTTACATTTTAGTACTTTTATAATAACAAATAAAGAATACACAAAAAAACAAAAAATAAAGTATCCACCCAGGGTCTTTATTTGTTTTGCTCTTGACTGCCAAGGAAATTTAACCATACTTTTTAATATTAATTGCACTACTGCATTAAATAATTTCTATATAATTAAATAATGTACCAAAGAACACATAATAATAATATGTAAAAAAGGAACAATGTTTCATAACTATCACAATTTTTCTGGCTTTCTAACTGTGCGACAAAAGCCTTTAGAAATTAAGTTAAGCTCATCGATGTGTTCCCATGGGAATAAAGTTTGAATGGAAGGAAAATAGACAATTCTCTCTAGGGACAACATAATATGATACATGGTTTGATAGAGGAATAATTTGGCTTTCTATTGGTTATAAGTAATATAGTCTTAAATGTCAGAGAGAACTATTGGCAAGTTGTAAAAGAAAGGATGTGATAGGTGGGTGTGGCAAGAGGTGTCTGATTTTCTATTTTATTGTACTCTGTAACTAAATGTAACTAAAGAGAAGAATTTTGTAATATATTACGAATGTATATGAATAAACTCAGCATCAAAATGAAGATAATAAATCGAAGTTTAGTGTTATTTATGTTTTTAATTTTATAAGGAAATGTTCTTAAAAATCTCCCCAAGTATGAGAACTGTGACATTTGTTATTAATGTCTTCTTTTTTCTCTATTTTTTTACCACCCCTCCGAGAAGTACAAAATTGAATGTAAATTAGTCATTATAATGTTTCCATCACTCAGGCAAATCATAATTTACATAGTCTTCAATCTTATTTAATTACAGAGAAGAAAGACAGCTGTGTGCAAACTATATGCTATTTAGTTTGTTATGGTAAAAAGTTCGAAGCAAAGTGGTTGTGCTTGCATTGCATATGGAGTGTTTTGCAGTGCGTATTAGGTAACCCCCATGGGGGGGGGGGGGCGAATCTTATGCATCCCGACAAATTCTCATGTGTACAGGACCAAGGAGTTCAGGTTAACTAGAACCCTGCAACGTCAACCATATGGTCCTGAAGTAACCTATACACATCAAAGAAAATTAAAATAACTTTATATTTTCTGTGATATAAAAGTGTAGACTATTATAGCTTTACTACAAAGATTGAAACCCAATAGAGTGACAACACTGTTAAAATTCTCAATGAGTGTTATTTTTTTACAAAGTGATCTTTGACATTCAAATGATTGTTATAATACCAATTATATGATTTTTTGTATAATTTAATTCACATTTTTATCATAAAAAGATCCTTGACAAATTTTGAGTAGTGCATATAATTCTATTAGTAGATGGCAAAATTGATGAAAAATATCTTTCACTTTCTTTCAAGTTATACAAACACGCACTCATACATACATATGTATTATAGCAAATGATTCTTATAAAACGTTTAAAAGCACAGCAGGAAATTTACCTTGTAAGTGTCTAGTGATGATTCAACTAATTTTTTCAAAACTGTGTATGCATCTTCATATATATCTGGATCTCCTTCACTGAAACAAAATAATTTCTTTTTAGGTTTTTTATATACATTTGAATAACTAAAAAACCCATAAATTACTACATTAATACCATAAAATTCCATTATAATCTATCAAGCTTAGTAACTAAGATGTATTTTAGTCTAAAAAATATGAAATTTCGAATAGACTAAAGACACGCCCTAACTTATTGAAATATTGGTTCAAAAGAAAGAAATGATGCCAAGCCTCTTAAAATGGCTGAGAGAGCCACTAGGGGGAC